TTTTTTAATTTTCTTTTGGACTGGGGATTGAACCCAGAGGTGCTTTACCACTGAGTTTCATTCCCAGCCCTTTTTATATTAAGACATGGTCTTAGTTGCTAAGGCTGTTGTCAAACTTACAGTACTCCTGTCTTAGCCTTCTGAGTTGCTTGGATTACAAGCCACTGTGCCCAGCCTTAAAACCATATATATTTCAAAGTGAAATCAAGTTTTTGGAAGAAGTGAAATTCTACAGTAATTACAGCTAAAAGTGAAATGCTTTTTAGAAAATAAGCCATCAAACTTTATCTACTATTAAGTACATGTTTTGTTAGATTTAATGTTTCTTTAACCTGTTAATAACACTTGAGGTGTTTTTTGTTTTTAATATTTATTTTTTAGTTGTAGTTGGACACAATACTTTATTTATTTATTTTTATGTGGTGTTGAGGATTGAACCCAGGGCCTTACAAGTGCTAGGCAAGCGCTCTACTGCTGAGCCCCAGCCCCACTTGAGTTTTATATAGTGAATAAATTAGGAAGTAAAATTGACTCAGAGCAAAATGAATGATTATATAGACATAGAACCAGAAGCAAAGGTATACCTCTATGTTCTTTAGATTAAGGAAACAGGATTTTTTTTTGAAAATTTTTTAATTTTTAAAATTTTTCGGTACCAGGGATTGAACTCAGGGACATTTAACCACTGAGCCACACCTGCAGCCTTTATCTTTTTTAGTACCTTTATTTTTTAATGTGGTCCAGTGCCTCATATGTGGTAGGTGAGCGCTCTGTGATTGAGCCACAATTGCAGCCCCAGGAAACAGGATTCTTAATCTTAGAAAGAGTATAATTAAGTATAGATCATTTTTGTATCTTTTTGCACTTTAAAATAGTGGCCACATAATTGTAGCCAGTTTAAAAATGGTGCTTTAATATTCTACTAACATTTTTCTTTTTACAGCTGGGAATGGAGGAAGAAGATGTGATTGAAGTTTATCAGGAACAAACAGGGGGTCATTCAACGGATTAGATATTCTTTTATTTTTTTTCTTTTCCCTCAATCCTTTTTTATTTTTAAAAATAGTTCTTTTGTAATGTGGTGTTCAAATGGAATTGAGAACTGGCACCCATCTCTTTAAAACATCTGGTAATTTGAATTCTAGTGCTCATTATTCATTATTGTTTGTTTTCATTGTGCTGATTTTTTGGTGATCAAACCTCAGCTCCCTTCATATTGCCCTCTCCTTTTAAAAAATTACACGTGTATACAGAGAGGCCACCTTTTTCAGGACTGTGCATTTTCAGGCTTTTGGTGGTAAATAAGATTGACCAATGTGAGTGTCTATATGACTTTCCAGTTGGCCCTGAAGTTCTAGCATGTGACTGCTTCACTCCTGGACTGTGACTTTCAGTGGGAGATGGAAGTTTTTCAGAGAACTGAACTGTGGGAAAATGACCTTTCCTTAACCTGATGCTACTTTTAAAATCTGAGGGTCTGGACCAAAAGAGGAGGAATATCAGCTTTGGAGTCAAGACGAACAGACATGGTGAGAGTAACGACTAACTCCAAAGATGGCTTCACTGAAGAGAAAGCATTTTAAGATTAAAAAAAAAAAAATCTTGTCAGAAGATCCCGGAAAAGTTCTAATTTTCATTAGCAGTTAATAAAGTTATTCATGCAGAAGTGTGTACAACAGAACACTGCTCCTTTGATTTTATTTGTACTTTTGGCCTGGGATATGGGTTTTAAATGGACATTGTCTGTACCAGCTTCATTAAAATAAACAATATTTGTAAAAACCTTACTAATGTTTATTTTATTTTAATTGTATAGGAAAGAAAAAAGAAAATGCCTAAAATAAGGTTTTCTTGCATAATACTGGAAATTATTTGCACATCATACAAATATTTCTTCAGTACTGTATAGTGATGATGTTAATGACTTTGAAGCACTGGAAGTTATTGAAGTGCCTTCTGAATCAAAGATTTAATTAAGGCTAAAATATCTCTTTAAAAACTCAGTGATTTGTTTTTTAAAAATTTGATATTCCTGTATGGTGCATATATATAATAGTTACCCAATCATGTTGAACAAGTGGGCACGCCAAAAGTTCTGAAATTGATTTATATTGATAATTTTAGTGTTCCCTTTAACTCTGCTTAGTTAAGGTTTGGTATATTTTGTTTATATTTTCCCTTTTATTTCTTTATATATTAAATCTATAAAACTGTGTGTAAGATTAAAATACCATATTAGTTTGTTCATTTCAGAGTGCCTAACTTCTTTTTTTTAACTCATGAATACAGAATTCAGTATATCTGTGCATACATCTAATCCAGATTCATGTTATCCTAGTGTCAACTGACTACTTAAAAAGAGCAAATAAAGCCAATCTTTTATAAACAATCATAGCTTATATACTCTATTCAAGTCCCTAGCTGAAAAATAGATTGACTTGATATTTAAAATGCTTAATATTTGACCCTAACTGAAAAGTTATTTGTATGTAATTTAGATCTTCCTGGCCTTTATCATTATATTCTGGAATTAGGCCCATTTTTAGAGAATCTTCATGAGTTGTTACTGTCAAGATTGAATAACAGGTCTGATTGGCTGTTAGAGCCATCCAGAATACATGAGCATTTAATCTTATATAAAAACAAAAATAATTTTTTGTAGTTGTAGATGGACACAATGCCTTTATTTTTATTTATTTTGATGTGGTGCTGAGGATCAAACCCAGGGTAGGCAAGAGCTCTACCGCTGAGCCCCAGCCTCAGCCCTAATCTTATATTTTAATTTTGTTTGCATTTCTAAACATCTGAAGGCTCTCAATGTTTAGATAGTAGAACTTTAAAAGTAATTTTGTTTTTAGTTTATTGGATTCTTCTAAGTGCACTGCACTCTGCTGTTCAACTTAAAAATGTGCTTATCTGTTGAAGTAGTGCTGATAAAATAGGTGCTTCACAGTAAAAATCTAATAAGAATATATTTGAAAGGGACTTTAAATCACATTTAGTGTAGCCACATTAGCTGGTGCTTGGCTGTAACATCCTACATGTAAAAGAAGGGAGAAAATAAAAGTCAGTAATGATAATTTTCCCCACAAAGGTGTTTTCCTTGAGTGTTAATTCTTATGTTTTTGGTTGAATTGTTTGAGATACTGTTACCTGATTGAGTACTTAATATTGAGTGAAGTGATTGTGCACATAAGGTCAACAAGCTTGAGAAAAAAATTTATATATTTTTTTAGTTTTAGGTGGACACATTATTTTGTTTTTATGTGGTGCTAAGGATCGAACCCAGTGCCTCATACATGCTAGGCAAGCACTCTACCACTGAGCCACAACCCCAGCCCGAGAAAAAATTTAAATGACATGTTCAAATTCACTGTGATATTATTTAGTATTTTGGCTGATTTCTATAAAACAAGGAGTTGAAGTACACATTAGATCTAAGCAAGTACATAATTTAGCAATATAGAATCCAAATTAACTCAACTTCTGGGTTGTAGAGGTGTAATGCATATAGAAAGCCAATACCTGAGCATTAATCAGAAATCAGAGGGAATAACTTGTGAATATTAAGTTTTTTACTTGTGGACAGTGAAGTATAGAGTAGGGTCAAAGGAAATTCGTGAGAAAATGCAGGTTTAGATTCTGGTTGATTGAACATCCTTTTATACATCTTGTTTCTAAAGCTCTTTCATAACTTTTAATGATGATTCTGTGATAGATCCCTTTTTTTAAAAGGGATGTTCTATTAGATATAAAAAGATGTTATCTGATGTGATGGCACATGCCTATAATCCTAGCAATGTGGGAGACTGAAGCAGTAGGATTGCAAAGTCGAAGCCAGCTTCAGCAACTTGGCAAGACCCTGTCTCAAAAATTATAAATGATTGGGGTTCAATCCCTAGTACTGTAGGGTGGGAAAAGAAAAAATATTAAAGATAAATTATCTCCTCAAAACTTCCTTTTGGAGTCTGTGTGATTATTAAAATTTTGTGAGTGGTTGATTTGTCCACACACAGAAACAAAATCTCAGGATTTGTTAATTTTCAGGGATCAAAATAACAAAACTTTTTGTTATGTTGGATGTGTTCTACCTCTTAGCTGTTAGCTAAGGTAGTCTTGTGGCCATTGAGTACTCGAAAAGTGGCATGTGAGAATTGATTCACAAATAGCTCATCTTGTTTAAATGAACATTTAACAAGTGATGACAAACATACTTTGTTCTGAATAGACAGTTAATTTTGGATTCTTGGGATTAAAAGATCATGGTTTTGTCTTATGTTGGGATTTCTTAATATATAAATAAATGAACTAGCTCCTCTTGGCTAATTCAGAATTATTTTCATTACAGATTCTCTATTAACCTACAACTCTACTAAAATACATTGACTGAAATGAAATACATTGAATATCCTAAGACTACACAAAGTGTTTCAAACTAAAATTATGGAATTATGGGCAGTTTCAGGCATCAAAGGTTTTGGATTTAGTTGGATCTAGAGAACATAAAGTGTTAAGTAGGCAAAGGATTTATTGGATTTATTCTCCAATAATGAGAATAAATCATTATTGAGATATCTGGTGCAGAGGTAGGGTGGGAATGGTTGTTTTGGAGTAGAAAAGTCCTTAGGTGTGGATTGAGGTTAACCAGGAGAAATGGAACTAATTGGGCTGAGGGCGGAACTTTATTATGAAAGGAAGTTTCTCTTTTTTCCATCACTGCATCTCAACTTACTTTTTTAAAGCTTTCTTTTATCCTTATGGCCTGGGTATTTCTAGGAACTGGAAATAAGAGTAAACCCATGGTCTGGAAATGTTCTGTGTCCACAGCAGGCCTCTGGCTTCCTTCTGGAGTTCTTGATGGAAATGAAGATGTTTTTCCAAAGCAGCTTTTTGCCTAAGGAGACAACCCCAACCCCAATTTCAATAATGATTGATCACCCTAGAAATTGTCCTTATAAGTTGATAAAAGGTGAAATAAAGTCAGCTGGCATTAAGTTGTAATCCTTGATGAAGTAAGCCTCCACACCTTGGTCTGGTCCTTTACTTGGTTTCTTGTTGTGAGCTACTTGGACTAGCTGACTTGTGAAATTTTCCACTTCCCCTCCAATAACTGTCAGTTTTCTTTTCTTGGAAAGTTGGAGCTCCAGTAGCTTGCTTTTGGTCTCAGTACTGCTGCTATGAACCCAACCCTGCTGTTATGATACACGGAATCCATATTTCTGAAGCTGAATCAGGACTTGCTAATGATCTATTTTGTAGATTTCACATAATAGCTGAAGAAAGTCCAGAAGAGGAACAACTCAAGGTTAGTGGAAATTCTTAAAACAAGAGTTGTTCTGGCTGCCTTCTCTTTTGGTCCTCTAAAGAGTATTTATTGTCTTAGAGTCAGCTTAAGTTATGGAAAATGCATTTCAGGGGGAGAAGTGTTTACAAGGTTTGGTTTGGAATCAAATGATTTTCTGGATTGTGCTTCTTTATCCTTAAGATAGATTGATGGATTTTTACCCCTGGGTTTTTATAATTCTCAAAAGGAATGACTATTAGTTGCTTTCACTAAGAAAGGGACAGTTATAGTGTAGCAACTACAGAGGACCTACTTTTAAAAGAGTATTGAAACCACATTACTCAAATCCTATTATCAGAAAGATGGATTGATCACTGTTGCAGAATAAAGGGGGAAAATGTCCTTGGCTCTTAAGGAGGTTGGTGCTATTTCTTCTAATAAGGCCCCCTTTAGATTTGATCTTGGCCTTTCTCTCTGACTTCATTTGGAAGTGTTCTTTGCCCCCTATTAACTTAAATAATTATAGCCTTATTCTTCAATACCTTATTCTCATTTCTTTGTTCAGACCTTTGCACTTACTGTTTACCTGCTGAAATATTTTCCTCCTAGATGTTATGTGATTAACTCCTTGTCATGCAGATCTCACTTTATATCTTACTCTGGGCAAACAGTCTGAAATAAGTCTCCTGTAATCCTATCACATGTTTTAAATGTTTTCTGAGTAGCATTTGTTAGTAGCTTTAAATAAATAAAGGTTTTTTTTTTTTCTTCTTCTTCTTCTTTTTTTTTTTTTTTAGTCTTGTTTTGCCACCCCGACCTATGCCATGGAAGAAGATACCTTGTCTGCCTTGCTTATTTCTGAATTCTGGAGTCCAGAAGTTGCATAATAATCTCAATAAATATTTATTGAGGAAGGCAGTGGATTCATAATCAGCCGGTTGGTTTTAGATCTTATCCTGACACTGCCTTTAACTCATTGGTCGGCCCTGATCAAGACCTTTCCCTTCTTTGGGACATACTTTCCTTCTCTTTTGGTGTTGGGGATCCAACCAGGGCCAATGCATGTTAGGCAAGTGCTCTGTAGTGCCACTGAACTACATCCTCTCAGCCTTTGGACTTGACTTGCTCATCTGTAAACCGGAAGATTGAGATTAATGGTCTCTAAACTCCCATTTCAGCTTCATTATAAGTTTTGTAAGCTATGAAGGAACTCTATGATGTTTCCAGCCAAAGAATCACTCTTTGTGTTTTAGTTTTCCAAACCATGATGGCTGGGGTTGAGGGGTGGGGAAAGGACTTTGTTCAATTGCAGTACTAACACTAGCACCAGGCAGTTAAGCCTTTGAACAATCCCTCTACTCAATCATTGCCCAAATACCAGTACCTGGCTTGTTCCTGATCTTGTTTCATGGCTTCCTCCAAAGCCAGCTTAGCTGCTTCCTCTTCCTTCTGCCTTCTCTCCTCAGCCTCTGCCTGAGCCTTCTCTTCTGCTTCCTGTTTCTGCCTCTGGTACTCCAGTCGTTCCTCTTCAGCCATTTCCATCAGGCGTTTTTGTTCTTCTGCTAACTGCATTTCCAGTTCCTTCTGCCTTTGCTTCTCTGCCTCTGCAGAATACATAAGGGGCATGGGCTCAGCAAGGGGGTATTGTTGGGGGAAAACCATATTTTGATTCAACTCTCAAATCTGATTTCTAAGGACTCAGTATGAGAAATTTTGAAGCCTATGAGGCTGTCACATCCTCTGTGGGGATTACCTTGGGAGTTAGTTTATCAATTTGAGTCCTTTATCAAGCACCTTCTATGTAGAGTGCATTGACGACTAATAAAAGTCTGTGTGGAAGATTCTTCCAGAGCCTGGATAGCTCATGGGGTGGTATGGAGCAGGGTTGGGATGGAGTGTGGTATCAGATCAGGGTCTAGAGAAACTTGGTGCATACGTAGCTGAACTGGCCCATTTAAAGTGCCAGGACCAGGAGGTGGCCATGGCTTCATCTGCTGAAGTTACTACCTCTTGAAAGTGAAGCTGGAGAGATTCTGTGCAACACCTGAAAGCATGCCCTGAAGCTACCCAGGTACTTGTAGCTATTCATTTGCTAGGGAAGGAAGCAAGGAAGAGGGTTGTGTCTCTAATTTATGTAATTCTTAAACAATGTTGAAAGAACAAAAGAAGGGACAGAGTCCCAGTTCAGATTATTGAGTTGGGAGCAGGACCCTGGAGTCATTTGCACAAGTCAGTCTTTTTCATATTCTGTCCATCCATTATCACTTCACTGTAGTCACACATAATAATCACTTTGAAAAAAAATAGCTCATACATTTAGAGTATTCATGCACGAAAACCTAGGATAGAAATAAATGAACACCCACAGGAGGGATAAAAATATTTCTGCCCCAAATAGATGGGCAAGGAAAGAGCTCAAGAATCCTCCTCACCAGCTCTCTCAGCTTCCTCTTGCTGCTTTTTTCTCTGTAGTTCTTGCAGTTTCCTCCGGAATTCCTCTTGCTGCTGCCTGGCTCTCTCCTGTGCTGCTTGCAACTGGAGCCGCTGCTTTCTCTCCACCTCTTCCTGCCGCCGCCGTTCTTCTTCCAGTCTCTGCCGCCTCAAGCTGAGAAAACACAAGATGGTCAGTAAAATGGCAGGAAACACTGGGGCGTCCTTGTGAGATAATCCAACAGGCAGTACCCCTGGGGAGACTTTGCAGCCTACAGTGTCTAGGGAGCATCCCCTTCCATGGAGGAGATGACTTAGCTTTCCATGGGAGGCCCGGATTGAAGGATAGAGGCAAGAACATAAGGGTCCTAGAAGGAGAAGCCTAGAAGTTTTAGTACACAGCTCAGCACTCTGGGTTAGAGACCTTCAGTTCTCAGAGCTTCATTTTCCATTCTTATAAAATAGAGTTTCCTGCCTCACACAAATATTGTGAAGCTAAAATTAGAGTTAAGGGCCATGAAAGGGCCTAGTGGAATGCAGACAATATGGTAAAATTCAATGAATATTGGTGGGACTGAATCTCAAAGCCTTCCAAGAAGAGTACATGAACATCTATCTTGAGTAACCTGGGCCAGGTTGCTCCTAAGGAAAACTGAGGAGAGAGCAAAATGAGACATGGTTTTGCCTCATATCAAGAGCCTCAGCACTGAACCTTGCCCATTGAGGTGGTCCACCCATGCCTTTTCCATCTACTTTCTAACACCATATCTCTTGGCTGCTGACCTACCGGTTCTCCTCTCTGCGGCTCTGCAGTTCCAGCTCCAGCTCCTCCTTCATCTTCTCTGCTCTCTCCAGCTCCTCCTGCTGGAGCCGGCTCTGCTGTTCCTGCTCCCTTCTCTTCCTCTCCACCTCCAATCGCCTCATCTCAGCCCTCTCTGCTCGCAGCCTGTCCTGGGAAGCCTTCTGCTGCTCCCTCTTAGTGAGGGCCTAAGAGACAAGAGTGTTCTCAGTCAAGGAACAGATGGGGCTGCAGTCCAGCCAGTGTTGTCTAATGAGAGATGGAGTCATGAAGACGACTCCACACTCTGACCACAGCCATATCTGCCCTGCCACCACCAGCTTGAGCACTGGGGTCCAGTTGACTTAGATTCAAGTCTCTTCCTCACTTACTTTGGGATTTGGAGGTCACAATTTAATTGTTCTGATATTGTGTTCCTCATGGGGCTGTTACCAGGATTCACTGAAATAATCAATATAATGCTCAGTATATCATAGGTTCAAGAGTTCTCAATCCTAGGTGCACTTTAGAATTGTCCAAGGAGGGGCCTGGGATGTGGCTCAGGTGGTAGTGTGCTTGCTTGGCATGCGTGAGGCACTGGGTTCGATCCTCAGCACTACATAAAAATAAAATAAAGATATTGTGTTCACCTAAAAAACTAAAAATTAAACATTAAAAAAAAAAAAAATTGTCCAAGGAGCTTTTGAAAATGGCTGGAGGCCAGAGCTCCACCAAGACCAATTAAATAAAAATCTCTAGGTAGAGGGTTTCCTTAGGTTTAAAACAAAACAAAACAAAAATTTTTAACTTGAAGCTTTGGCTGGAAACCACAGGGTCTAGGTAGGGATATTGTACCATGGGCAATTGTAGATATGGAGAGGTCAGACTCATATTTAATCAGTAGAAATCCACCTTCTCAACAAAAGGCGTTTCAGTTTGCATGACAATTGTTGTAGTTTTCATTTTCTCCCTAATGCCTCTGACTCAGAAGTATGCCTGTAAGAGGAACTTTAGAGGCTATTTCTTCATGAGATTTCTGTGTCCAACCCAAAGTGAAAGCTCCTTGCTTATTATCTTTGCAGAGGTAGGACAGTATTATGGATTGATAATAAATCTAAGAAATTCTGATGATCTAGCTGGCTCAGAAAAGTTCTGCCCATAGATTAATATTTTCATCTGTTGTGCAGAGCAGAATTCTGTTATCTAGGCTGCTGAGAGGGTTTGAGAACTACACAGGAAAAATTGTCTAAAATCTTATTTGGAAGACATGGTACCATAAAATAGATAATCATTTAAAATAGTGATAAGAGTCCTGAATTTGGATTTAAATGATCTGAGTTTAAATCTTGGCTTAACTATTCAATAGTACAATTTCTGGTCCCCTGGCATTTAACTCACAGGTCCATAAACTGAGGTTAATCACACGTGGTTCACAAGTATGATAAAGGTTAAAGGAGACAACATTATTTACTATAAGCACATAAAACTTAAGTAAGCTAACCACATACTTTGCTATGTGTGCACTTGTAGTGTTTAAAGATACTTTTTGTTTGTTTGTTTTACAAGATGTCTTAAGGTAGTTCAGTGCCTGCATCTCAGTGGAAGAGATAGTGATATGTTTCAATAGCAAAGGGAAAATGGGCTGTGTTGTTTTTACTGAGAAATGATGTATATGTGGCATTCTTTTTGGTGAACTACAGAGAATTTTAAGAGTAATTTTTCTCACACTCAGTTTTTATCTTTAAACCTCCAAAGGAGAATCTAAGCCTTTGGATCAAAACACCTCTTCTGTGAAAAGCACTTGTAGAAGCAGTTGTGTGTATACAAGCTGTTGTGTACCACAGATAAGCAGATTCTGAAAGAAGGTATTTCCATGGACTTGGGAGACAGGTAATGGATGAGCTCCAGGCCAAGTCCAGGCCTGCATCTATCTTTCTCTGCTCTGAGGAGATGTGCACCTCTAATGGGTGGGTGCTGTGCCCACCTCCTGCTCTGTTAATAGGAAGCTTTAACAATTTTGGGCCTCATAGAATGCCTTACTTCAGAGGGATATCACCCTTCTGTGACTCTGATCAGCTCTGGCTTCTAACTAGGGTCAGAAGGCACTGAAGCAGACCAAAGAAGAGTAGAGCTGTTCCAGGGATTATAGTTTCATTCAGGCAGTTTTCCCTGTGTCCACAGTTGTGTCAAGTGAAGACGGAATTCCCTTGGCCAAGACTTTACCTCTGAAGGGTCTTCACAGCTTCTCTCTTCTTTTGATTCCACATTTCCAGTGACAGCCATGGTCTGGGTTTGTGATGATCTTCCATCTATAGAAACTTGGCTCTCCGGAGCATCATGTCTGGGAGAAAGCCAATGATCCTCCACATCGGAGTGTGAAGGGAAGAAACCTCTATCTGGGATGTCATCAGGCCCACTCAGCTCTGCTGCCATCTCCACATTCCTTTCCTTCTGTGGCCTTTTCCTTTTGGCTCCTGCTTTTTTTTCTTTGGGAATTAGCTCTGATTTCTTTTCAGACATTGAGTCCTTTGACTTGCCTGGGGGGAGAATAATTGGGGACAGAGGTATAACTGAATTAAGGAAATGTGTCTCTGCACAACCTTTTAAGTACCTTTTAAACTTTAGCATGCAATGGAATCATCTGGGGTAAAGACCCTTGAGCCCTAGGTGGGTCAGTAGGAATCTGCGTTTGATAACCACCTGTACTGTTTTGACTGGTTTTCAGACTACCTGTTGAGAAACTGCTTTATCCTATTTAGATCAATTGTCATTCAGTAGTTGTTATGGTTTAGATGTGTCTCCGAAAAACTCATGTAAGACAACTTAGAAGTGGAATGATTGGTTTATGAGAGTATTAACCTAATCAGTGCATTAATCTCCTGATAAAGATTAACTGGGTGGTAATTGTAGGCAGGTAAATGTGGCTGGAGGAGGTGGGTTGATGGGGATGTGTCCTTGGGGTTTATATTTTGGCCATGGAGTGGGGAGCTGTCTCTCTCTGCTTCCTGGTGGCCTGTCCTGAGCTGCTTTCCTCCTCCACATCCTTCTGCCATGGTGTTTTGCCTCACCTTGGGCCCAGAGCAATGGAGTCAGCTGGCTATGGACTGAGATCTCTGATTGTGAGCACCAAAATAAACTTTTTCTTCTTTAAAATTGCTTTTGTCAGGTCTTTTTTATTATTAGTCACAGCAATGCAAAAACTGACTAAAACAGCAGTGTTGCTATTTTAAAAACTCCATTTTACCCTGACCGATAGGGGTGTCAAGACTTTGAGGGGAGACCTGAAACACAGCTGGAAAGTCCTACCCAGAGAATCTGACTTGAGGTTGCCCCTCTGTAACCTGGTGAAGTTGAATACCCTCAGGACTTAGTTCACCTCTGGGAGCCATTAAGAGTTCCTTTTCCTAATCCTGTCAATGCCATGGACTACACAATGTAAATTCAGCAGGAGTTTATAAAGATAAACATCAAAAATAGATCTGGCCCAAGAGTGTCTCCAGTCCTGTCCTTTCCAACAGCACTGGTTTTGTTTGGAGGGTCTTCTGAATCATGTGGGAGGTAAAGGGTGGGTGTTAAGTGTTAAGCTAAAGGGTGTCTTCAGAAGCATAGGAATCTGGATTCCTTGTAAGGTGTGACTGAGGGAACTGAGAAGAAACATGGTTCTGGAAAGATCATTCAGAGCTTGTTGATCCTTCCTCATTCCCAAATGCTCTCACCACCCAATATGATTATGACTTACAGGTTGAGCATCCCTTATCAGAAATGCTTGGATCAGAAGTGTTTTGGACTTGAATGTTTTCTGATTCTGGAATGTATTTGTTATATTTATATTATACCATATTACATCATGTTGCATTATATTATCCCTTAATTAGATAGGTGGGACCCAAGTCTAAACACAAAATTTATTTATGCTTCATATATACCTTATACACACAGCTTGAAGATAATTTTATACAATATTTATTGTGCCTGCATTATGATCATAACCCATCACATGAGGTCAGGTGTGGAAATATTCCACTTTTGGCATCTTGTCAATGTTTAAAAAGTTCCAGATTTTGGAACATTTTAGATTTTCAGATTAGGGATACTCAACCTGGAGTCAAGTGGTACCAGAGCAGTGGTAACAGTGTGCATTGGGAGTCAAATAGGAAAGGATAAACCCTAGGTCCACCTCTTTACTATCTCTTTGATATTATGTAAGTCATCCACAGCAGCACTCACAGAGATGTTCTGAGGTTTTCATGAGCTCCTAATGCAGCAGGTATTCAGTAAATGTGTGCTGTTATTAGTATTACCATTTCTTCCCTTGGTAACCTCAGGTCTCCAGAACCCCACCCCAGTCTCTATCCCTATCTACTAAGATAGTGATATGCAGTAAGATTGCACTGCTGTTTAAATCAGGGTAGCCAAGAAGACTCAAGACAGTGAGCTTGCCCTACAGAATTCATGCTGATTCCAGGTACCACCTCCTACCCCTATCAAGAGGCTTCTGGATTGTTCCTCACAGGCACACTCTTACCTAAAATAGCCTTTGCTTCTCCAGGGACAATTCCTTCATTCCCCTTCTTGGGTGCTTTGGTCTTATCTGTCTTGATTCTTTTCTTTCTCTTGGACTTGTCGATCAACTCCCTCTCCTAAAGGTAAGAAATTAAGGAAACGGACTATGATACATGTAGGAAAGGAAAAAGCCATCAAGGGAAGATCACATTGAACAACGTGACATAATGGCTTGAAATGGTTTGTGTGGGTTCTGAAGCAGCAGAACAGTGAGTCTTAGAGAATTTGGAGCCAGTGGGGAGAGTTGAAGTTTGAATCTTTGATTTAAAACAGCTAGGATAATTTCATAGGAGAAAAGAGGAAGAAAATACACTTTATGACCTGCCTCCTTTTTTGATGCTAAATCATGATCTACAGAGCTGAATCCAGGTGAAAGCAGTTTTCACCTTTAATAGATTGGTGCTGTCATGTCAGTCTTCATCTTTCCCATGGGCTGCCTCAACATGGAGGTTCCTCTTAAGACAGGATAGTAGTGTGGGGACATGGTTGCCCATTCAATACCTTTGAAGGAATTAGCAATGGGTTCTGTCCTTCAGGATGATGTTCCCTAATACTGAGGTGATGACAGCTGGCTGTCAGCCACCACGCCCTTTGTCAGGTGCCCTTGTATAGTGAACAGCTCATACCAGTGTACATGGTAGCCTTGGCAGGATCCAGGTAGGGTTTTTGAACCAAGCTTCAAGGTGTTCACACTCACATTGCTGATGCTGGCTGGTGCCTCCTGGTTGAATAATCTTGGTCCAATCTTCCCTTCTCTTTCTCTTAGAAGAGATATATCCACAGCACCGGTCTTCTCTGGAGACTCAGGCCTACTTCCTGGAAGTCCTCTGTACAGGTGCTGTGCCTCATAATTGCTGCCTCTTTTAAATGAGCAAAGCAACAGGACCAAATGAAAGAAAATTCTGGTAGTAAGGAAGAGAGTAGTGGACAGACATCAACTGAGCACCTGTTCTCTGGCAGGCACTGTGTGGGGTGTTTGACATACTTAGTCAGCTTTCTTTTCCTCAGCATATCCCTGGATAAGAGAGATGAGAGCCGGGCGCAGTGGTGCACACCTGTAACCGCAATGGCTTGGTAGGCTGAGGCAGGAGGATCATGAGTTCAAAGACAGTCACAGCAAAAGCAAGGTGCTAAGCAACTCAGTAAGACCCTGTCTCTAAATAAAATACAAAAAAATAGGGCTGGGGATGTGGCTCAGTGGTTGAATGCCCCTGAGTTCAATCCCTAATAATCCCCCCTAATACCCCTCCCAAAAAAAGAGAGATCAAAATAATCTGACTTAGTGGAAGAAATACTTTGCCTTTTTGCGTTTGCGCATTTATGCCTTTAATTAAATGACATAAAATGTTGTAACTGAAATTTCTTCCATCAAAGGCTTAGCTGAAAAGAAAATGACATTTAAAAAAGATTATCTTAGGAACAAGCAACTACTATCCATTTCTTTATCCCCTCTGAGTTTCATTCTTGATCAAATCTAGCCACTGAAAGGTCCTGTGCTGTTAGTTTTATCTGTTGTCATTGCTATCAATTACTGTGTCCTGAGGACAACTGGTGTGTGCCCTGTGGGCAGGACAGGCCATAGATTGCAGTAGCTGCTGCAACATTGAGTGTTGTGTGCCTGCTGTGTGCCAGGCCTAGTTCTGGCATTTTCTCTTTTTATCTAAATCAGTATGATTACTGTGCTTTGCTTGTAAAAGGCCTTACTGTGGAAACTTGAGAAATGTTTGTTGAATGAGGTAAATGGAATTTCCTGTAAATATATGAGTCTTTAAATCATTCAGTGTCACTCTATAAAAACCCATAGAAGTCTCCTTAGGATTTAGTGCTAGGAAACCCTTTCTTTTCCCAGAGGAACAGGTAGGCTGCAAATGAGCACCACAAGCCTGATTGCATGCTCCTTTCTTTCTTTCTTTCTTTCTTTCTTTCTTTCTTTCTTTCTTTCTTTCTTTCTTTCTTTCTTTCTTTTTTTTTTCCCTTCTCTCCTGTTTAGGAATCTTTATTTTAAATCTGAAATTTAGTCATGGTGACTATAATGGTCATTGTGGGGCTTTTACGTGTTTTCTGGTTCTCCTGATTTAACAAAAATTCTCTGATTATTCTATCTTTTTTGATAGTGAGTTGTTGCACTAACCATTTAAATATGTGGTGGAAAAAGGGTGTAAAAATTTTAAAATGACATTCCTGTTGCAGTTGCCTCAATCACCCAAGTGCCCTTCTCCCTTGGTTCCTGGAGGTCAAAAAGATTTGACCTTATACTGCTGGGTAAGTGAAAATCTCAGGGAGGTCACATGGGGCTATGGTTCCAGGTGGAGGCAGAGATGGCTACACCAGCTGCTGGGTCCAAAGGGGACTCAGGTCAGATGTCTGGGCCTGACTGGCTGAGCTGCTGTCAGAGAGCTCCTAGTAAGCACCCAGGGAATACACAGGAAGCACTCAACACACATTAGCAATTATCAATAAGTGTTAGTATTATTAATGTTACCCAAAGATGAGAGAATGCTGAGAGGAGAAACCAAGTGAACTGATAGACTAAGCTTTCTAGAATCTCTGTAGATCTCAGATATATGGACAATGGAAGAAGATCCCTCCAATACTGTTAAACTTCACTCCTCATCCAACTAGCAGAGTATGTGGTTTAAGTAGGAAACTCATCACAATGTAAATTTGTTTCTTTCCATTCTGGCTGTCAGCATGTTGTGTCAGTTGAGAATGCTCATGAGTCTCAGAAAACCAAACCAAACCAAACCCAAGCCAAAATCCCAGAAACAAAATTAATTAAAAACAAAGAGAAACAAAAGCAGGGAAGTCCACATTGTTACAAATTTGAGCACTTACATGTTTTTCATAGAATCTGCCTCAGGGGTCTGGATATGTTCAGCCAGAGAAGCACTGCTGGGGTCAGTTACACTCCTTCGCTCTGGGTCTGTGAAAAGACAGAAGATCCTCAATCAGCAAAGGACACGGGTAATTATCCCAGGAGGGGATTAGACTGGGGAAGTGTCCATCTGTGTGAGTAGTCAACAGTCTGCAAATTGGAACAATGACGTATGTTACACTTAGAAAATTAGCAAATACTGTGGGAACCAGTACTGTCACATGGCAAGTGACATTGAAATTAGTATTAAAATATCTTCGGGTAAAGTAATATAACAGTGTGTATCAAGAATCAGAAAAATGTTCTGGTCTTTGATTGGGACTCTTACTCCTGCGCATTTATCCTACGGAAATAATTCAAAAGAAGAAACAGTTTTTGAACCACTTATTTATTATGTTATTGTCAATAATGAAAATTAGAAACAGCTCAACAAGGGAGACTTTCCTTGTAATTTATGATGAATTACTTTGACACTTAAAATTGTTGTTAAAAAGAAAAAATAAACAATATGGAAAGAGTTTCCGATATAGGACAAGTAAAAATATGGACTATAGAATAGTGTGTTAGAACTCAATAATGTCTGGGTGGATAAGGACTGGAAGAGAAAACAAGAAAAGGAAATAATATGTTAGATGGGGAGGTTTGTATATATGCTTCAATTTTTTCCCTAAAACCCCAGTGTAGTTATAACATTGAAAAGCAAGTTAATTTAAAAAATAAATGTTACTCTATGAGGAAGGAGACACATGTCCCATTACCAGGGCTTCTTTGCAGCTTGGGTTCCTTTCATTCATCCCTAAGCATGAATGATGCATTCACTCTCTCACACAACTTCCAGATTTTGGAGAGGGGGCAAGATTGTTAATGTACAATGAGATTGAGAAAAATGAAAATGCTGACTTAGGGCTGTGCCTGGGAATTTATTTTGCTTCCAATAATATGAAACATTAACAGAGAGCAGGAGCTGATTAGAGAATCTTCACAATAAGAGGAATTCTGTGAGGGTTTCTTTAGAGTTGCTGGCTCAGAAAAAAACACTCATGGAAGATATTCACAGGTCTTCGCAATTTTCAAACTTGGGTGCAGGGCGCAATGGAACCAGCAGAGGGCGTGTTTGCATTGCCCAAAAGCAGAGGTTCTATATTGGTGTGATTTCAACATTTTGATTAGAATTGATATGAACAACAGAAGGGTGATTTCTTTCCCTTAGTAAAGTAACCTGATATTTAGGAAGTATTGGAACAAATTAAGGCAGAACTTTGAATGATAACTTACAAATTTTTTTATTTGTAGGTGGACACAGTATCTTTATTTTATTTTTATGTAATGCTGAGGATTGAACTCAATGCCTCACCCTTGCTAGGAGAGCACTCTACTTCTGACCCACAACCCTAGCCCCGAAATTTTAACTTCTTTAAAAAATATATTCAATATCTTAAATGTGATTTACGTGATTTACCTCCAAATACTATCACACTGGTGATTAGGTTTCAACATAAGAAGTTTGGGGGGCGGGGGGACACGACACATTCAGATCATAGCAGCTATTTTTGGCTGTTATATGAATTTTAGGATCAACTAATCTTGCTCTGTCAGAGATTTTTTAAAAATATATTTTTGGTTGTAGATGAACACAATACTTTTATTTTATATATTTATTTTCATGTGATGCTGAAGATTGAACCCAGTGCCTCACATGTGCTTGGCAAGTGCTCTACCACTAAGCTACAACTTCAGCTTCTGTGGGGGATTTTTTTAAAAATCGGAATTTCATGAAATTATAGACTAGGGAAATTGTTATCTTTATGATGGAGATTCATCCTATCTATGGACACCGTACACAGTATTATATAGAACATTATACTTTTTTAGGTATACTTTTGCTTAATTTAATGAAATATAATTTCTTCATGAAAGTCTCACACATCTTTTTATATACTTATTGCCAGAATATATTTATATTTTAAAATTATATTTTCATCTGTTTAAATCCACAAGTACATGATACTAAAAAAAAAAACACAAAACAAAACTAGGTCACTGTAGGAGGATCCTGGGGAACTGACTCATTATTATGACAACTGATACATAAAAGCATAACATTGAGCATTTATTTTTTCTTCCTACATAAGCTATACCACTGGATAACTAAATAGTAGATGAGGAAAATTTTATTTTTGTAGAGTTTCTTAACTAATACATGAAAAAAGAATGATAGCATTTCATTATCACTATTTTGCAAACTCTAATGAATTGATGGACCCATAGCCATTGGCATCATGGAGATGAGGAAATACCATGTGTCTTGAAAGAGAAACACATAAATTATATCAAGAGCTGCACCATCAATGAAATCTAGTCTGTGGGAAACCCAATAGGACACATGATACAGTTTCCTAATAAAGTAAAAGGAGGAAAAAAGAGAAATGAATGGAATCTATAATTTAAATGATACTTAAGACCATATTGAGCAATGGTAAACAAATTCAAAAATAATTATAAAACTCTGAAAACTGACTACTCATCTATAATAAGGAATTGTTTGGATTTTAGGTGTAATAATGGTATCATGGCTATGTCCATAGTCTTTTTTTGTCTTTTAGAGATATATGCTTAAATATATGGGTAAAGTGATATGATTCTGGAATTTGTTTCATAAAAACATGGAAGAGAGGAAGGCGTTGGGGTTATGAATGAATAATGTTGGCCAAGAGATGAGAATTCAGGATTCATTTTGCTGTCCAGCTGCCTTTGTGAATGTTCAGGTTTTTTTCTACAATAACAAGTGTTTTAAAATTTCATTTTAAATTGTGCTTTTTTGTGTTTTGGAACACTGTTTTTCCTACAAGTGATTTCTGTGTGTTTGTCTATACTTAGTAATTTGGTTAGATTCTTTTATCTCTTAAGGGTTCACCTGTTGTTATGGTTTAGATTGTAAATGTCCCTAAAAAACCATGTGCTAGGGGCCTAGTCACCATCCTGTGGTGCTATTGGGAGGGAGTGGATCTTTAAGAGGTGGAGCCTGTGGAAGGAAGTTAGGTCATTGGGGGTGTGCTTGTGAAGGGAATATTGGGATTCCTAGCCCCTTCTGTGCTCTCTCTCTGCTTCTTGGCCACCATGAGGTGAGCAATTTTACTCTGTGGTGCTCTCTGCCATGATGTTTTTCTTTGCCACAGGCCCAATGAAATGGGACCAAGTGACCACAAACTGAAACCTCTGAAACTGAGCCAAAATAAACCTTTCCTCCTTATAAGTGGTTTATGTCAGGTATTTTGTCACAGCAATAGAAAGTTGACTAACACATCTGTAGAGCCTTTCATAGAAGTAATAATATTGTCTAGGAATAATGACAGTGTCATATCCTCTTTTCCCTCCTTCCAGCTTACTGTTTCTTTTGTTTTCCTTACTGTGCAGACTAGGACATCGAGTATGATGAAGGAACAATGATAGAAGGGATCCTTGTCCCAGTTGTGTCTAGAGACACTACTTTGAAGGCTCTACCATTAGTGTGTGGTGATTGATGGTACCATAGATATTTGTATTCTATCAAAATCAGGAAGTCCTTTTCTATTCGTAGTTTGATTTTTTTTTTTAGATGGGGGGGGGTGTCTTGCTATGTTTCCCAGTCTGTGTAGAATTCCTGGGTCACAGCCATACTCCCACCTTAGCCTCCTCAGTACCCATTGGGCCTGGCTGATAATTTTTAATCATAAATAGGTGAATTTTATAAATTTTACTTCTTTTTGCATATCTACAAAATGACCCTAAGACCTTCTCCTTTAATTTTTTTTAATAGTTATTTTTTAGTTGAAAACAATAGTTTTTTAAATTTATTTTTATGTGGTACTGAGGATCGAACCCAGGGCCTCGAATGTGCTAGGCAAGCGCTTACCGCTGAGCCACAACCCCAGCCCTCCCCTTTAAGTTCTTGATAGGAATTATATAATCATATTTTCAAATCTTAGGCCATCTTTGAATTCCTGTGATAAAACTCAATTCTGTCAAGGTGTATTTTTTTTTTTTTAAAGTACAAGCTTATGGATTTGCTTGGCTACTATTTGTTTAGGAGTTTTGCATCTTTGATCATAAGTAAGATTGGCCTATCATTTTCTTTTTTAGGCTGTCCTTGCCTCTGGCTTCAGCTGCCTTTTGGTTTTGGTAAATTTATGTCCCTTTTTAGAAATGAGCTTTCTTTCCTGAAGGTGAAGAGAATTTTCAGATTAAAGGGGCAACAGCTGTGTTCTGGGGACTTTTTTGGGGTCCCAGGCTAGGCTGAATGGGGAGTAAGCCAGGAACATTCTTAGGAATCTGCCACCACCCACCTCTCCTCTCCCAGCGTGAAAGAGAACTTTGAAATCTTTTCTAGAGGAAAACCAAAGCAGTGCAGAGTGTGTAGGTCATGTCATCTAGGTGCTGAGAACCAGCAGGATATTCTGAACCTAGGCTCAGGTAGAGTGCTGGCAGCATGCTGAGACTGAAATCCTCTCTGGGGCAGTGTGGGGCTGGAGGACCCCAGGAGCACATGCCCAGGCTGATCTTCTTACAGGACGCCTACTAGGCTCTAGATTCTAGTGAGTGGCACCACCTGGACTCCTGGGTACAAGCTTCTGCTCCTCCTCTTTCCTCCACTTCTTTGCACAGGTTGGGTGGCCATGATATTTGATACAAGAACTGCCCTTGAGGAAAGACCTGTAAAACTAGCAGAAAGCCTGCACAAGTTAAAAAAGACTAAATTGTTTGAGTGGGACTCCGAGGCTTGTCTTCCTCCCACCTTTCCCCCAGGTTCTTTGTCAGATTTTCAGACCTTTCAGGTCTGCAAGTCTCCACCTAAGGATGGAATCCATAGGAGGTCCCCATGCTTGTGGGGATAGCACAAGCGCCACAATGAGAAGAAGAAAAGGTGACACAGCTGGGAGGCACCCTCCTGGGAGAGCCCTGCCTGGGGTCTTGAGCTCCCTGCCAAAGAGCTCTTTTTGTAAGGACAGGGATGACCTCGCCCAAGGGAGAGGACCTCATCAGGAGCCTCCTGGTGAGCAGGCTCTTTGGGA